CAACTGCGAAGAAAGCAGTCAAGTGCCCTTCACCAGTCTATCCTCACCATTGCTTAATAACTGTATTCATTTACGCAGTAAAATAAGGATTGGAACTGCCATTTGTTCATGTATTCTTTCACAGTGTTTCAAAGCTGTTTTCCATTACAGGTGGAAAATAACGAGAATGTCTTTGAGTGAAGCTTGTAGAAGTATTATACTCTCATGATTTATGGATTCATTAATTTTGGGCGTTGGTGTTTTCCTTCTGAGCAGCATTGGCTGCGACCGGGCTGCAAAGTTGTTGATGGTGGAAAAGGAACTCCTCTCACTTTGTCGTTGGAGCCGAGGGAGATATAGATCCGATTGGTTGGGTGGAAGGTCAGGCACCTCCGTTACTAGTAGATGCTTAAATCCTAAATTGGGTCGCTTTTCTTTGTGGCGAGAGCGAAATATAAGAAGCATCGAAGTTGTAACTCGGCAATGGCTTAGCAACGTCAGTGCCAAGAGATTTAACGTGAGGCAAGCTATAATGGTAGATTGTTTTAGCGGGAATTGAATTGCGAACGTAAGAGCAGTGATGGTGTCTGATGATGGGATAGGGTAATGGTGGTGTGAGTCACTGGCATTGACGACTCTCGAGGCGTTTCCTGAGTCAAGTCTGACTGTAATCATTTCTCTCATTTTGCTTCTTCTCATGCTTCAGAGCCTACGAGAGCGCGACGCGATAATAGCGGAGTTACAGCAACGATGTAATGATGCAGAAAGGAGTTTGGCAGAGATGGCTGGTACAGTAGAGACGGCACGGCTGCAGGCGGACCGCGCGGAGGAGCGTGTACGTCTTCTCGCCACTGCGCAGTGGACAAGCGATAGCGACGTCAGCGCTTGCTCTCTCTGTGCTTCTCCCTTCTCCTTCTCTCGTCGTAAAGTGGGTTCTACTCATTTTCTTGCATGCTCTTGGAACCCTGATGAAATAGCATTGAACTCATCAGGCTTGTAGTAGTTTTACTGCTTTTCCTAGGGGCAATGTTC